TGAAACTAGACCCACATCTCTCACCATTTACTAAAATCAACTCAAAATGGATTAAGGATTTAAATATACACCCTGAAACAATAAAACTTATTAAAGAAAATATAGGAGAAACCCTTCAGCAAATAGGGCTGGGCACAGACTTCATGAATATGACCCCAAAAGCATGGGCAACCAAAGGAAAAATAAACAAATGGGACTATATCAAACTGAAAAGTTTCTGCACAGCAAAAGAAACAATTAACAGAGCTAAAAGACAGCCAACAGAGTGGGAGAAAATATTTGCAAAATATACATCTTACAAAGGACTAATATCCATAATATATAAAGAACTCAAACATCTTTACAAGAAAAAAACAAGCAACCCAATTAAAAAATGGGCAAAAGAGCTAAGTAGGCATTTCTCTAAAGAAGATATGCAAATGGCCAACAGTCATATGAAAAAATGCTCAACATCACTCAGCATCCGGGAAATGCAAATCAAAACCACACTGAGATACCATCTCACCCCAGTTAGGATGGCCAAAATCCAAAAGACACCGAAAGATCAATGCTGGCATGGTTGCGGAGAAAAAGGAACTCTCTTACATTGTTGGTGGGAATGCATAATGGTGCAACCCCTATGGAAAATGGTTTGGAGGTTCCTCAAACAGTTGCAGATTGATCTACCATATGACCCAGCTATTTCACTGCTGGGAATATATCCAAAGGAATGGAAATCATCAAGTCGAAGGTATACCTGTTCCCCAGTGTTCATTGCAGCACTCTTTACAATAGCCAAGAGTTGGAATCAGCCCAAATGTCCATCATCGGATGAGTGGATACGGAAAATGTGGTATATCTACACAATGGAATACTACTCAGCTATAAAAACGAATGAAATACTGCCATTTGCAACAACATGGATGGACCTTGAGAGAATTATATTAAGTGAAACAAGTCAGGCACAGAAAGAGAAATACCACATGTTCTCACTTATTGGTGGGAGCTAAAAATAAATAAATAAATTCACACACACACACACACACACACAAAACCCCCGAGGGGTGGGGTGGGGGGAGAAGACATAACAACTACAGTTCCTTGAAGGTGATTTGACAAGCAAACAGAAAGAACATTGTTGGGTGGGAGGGAGGAGAGGGAGGAGGGAAGGAGTTTTCAGTAATGGGCCACAATAATCAACCACATTGTATATCGACAAAATAAAATTAAAAAAAAAAAATGACTAAACTGAAACAGTAACAGTAGCACTTACCATATGCTTGATGCTGTTCTCAGACTTTATCCAGTCTTCAGTGAGGTAGGTACTGTTACTATAATCTACATTGTACACGAGGAAACTGAGATGTGGTGAGGTGAAGAAACTTGCCCCAAATTACACAAGTAAATGGTGGGGCTGGGATCCAAATCTAGGTACCCTGGGCTCTAGAGTCACAGCTCTCAGTCACTAAGACTATAAAAATGCAGAGAAAATTCTTTCCCTGTAAGATGCATTTTGTTTTTTTTTGGCGTCCGGCAACGGATTGCAACCCTCAGTGTCGCGCCCGTACCGGACCGGGACCGGCAACGGGATCGCAAACCTCCGTGCTGCACCTGCACCTCGCTCAGCCAGTGAGCGGGAACCGGTCTGTATGTGGGATCTGAACCCTCGGCGGGAGCGCTGCCGCGCTTCCCAAGCGGCGCACTATAGCAGTGCGCCACCGGGCCGGCCCAAGATGCATTTTGTTGAGCAAAACCTAACTACGAGAGAAATGGGATGATATAAAGATGGCAAAAGAGGAACTTCCATGTCAACATTTTTCATTTATTTTGTTACACCTTTCATATGATCGATATAAAATTGCTTAATACTTAAAATATATTTAGGGCCGGCCCATGGCTCACTCGGGAGAGTGTGGTGCTGATAACACCAAGGCCACAGGTTCGGATCCAAGGCTGGTTGGCTCACTAGCTGAGCGTGGTGTTGACAACACCAAGCCAAGGATTGAGATCCCCTTACCGGTCATCTTTTTTTTTTTTTTTTTTTTTTTTGAGACCAACTGGCCGCACTGCGCTCAGCCAGTGAGCGCTGTGAGCGCACCAGTCATCCCTATATAGGATCCGAACCCGCGGCGGGAGCGCAGCAGCGCTCCCAGCGCTGCACTCTCCCGAGTGCGCCACAGGCTCGGCCTACCGGTCATCTTTTTAAAAACAAAAACAAACAAACAAAACTTAAAATATATTTGTAGTTTAATTCCAGTTTTCCTTATATTCAAATCAGTAATATTTTCTTGAAATATTTTAGTTAATTTTTTAAAAAAATTTTTGGTGGCTGGCCAGTATAGGGATCTGAACTCTTGACCTTGGTGTTATCAGCACCATGCTCTAATCAAGTAAACTAACCAGACAGCCCCTTCACATATTTTTTAAACAAGGGCTTACCAACAGAGCATAAATGTTCATTTCAGAGCATAAAATGTTCATTATCCAAAGTTAGCTGTTGGCAATAACTTAAAAAACAAAGCCTTTTTTTTCTTACAGTTACTTCTCATCAGATATCAGTTAAACTTCTTTTTTTGTTTTTCTTATTTTTTTCTGACCAGTAAGGGGATCGTAACCCTTGTCTTGGTGTTGTCTGCACCACGCTCAGCCAGTGAGCGCACTGGCCATCCCCATATAGGATACGAACGAGTGGCCTCAGCGCTACCACGGGGCCGGCCCAGATATCAGTTAAACTTCTAAAGGAACACTTACAAAATTTTTTTCCTGATCCTAAAGTCTTCTACACTAGCTTCAGTTAAATAAGACAATTTTGAGCTTGTTCAGGCCTAAAAGCCTTTGCTATGTGAATATTCACCAACCCCATGTGTGTACAGGGTATTAAACACAAATTCAAGAGCTGTTCACACCTCTACAGCACAGACTTAATCAGCAAGATTTGGCTCTATGAACTCTTCCTCTTAGGATAGCAGTATTAAAAAATATGAACCCTTATGCCTTTTATTTTATGTCTGTCATTTTAGGATGTTTCTGGGAGATTGAAGCAGCAAAGCGTACATAGTAAATGCTGTACAAGGACTTAAACCAGTGCTCCTAGAGAAGCCACTATCTCTAAAGGGGATGTTTTCAAAATGTGAGCCTTTTAAAAGATGGCACAAACACTGATAGGACCACTGGTGTTTAGTGGGTGGAGGTCAGGGAAGTTAGACATCTTGCAAGGTATGAGACAGTCCCACACGATGAAACATAAATCAGCATCCTGTGTGACTTTGTCCATTCATGTAGTAGAAAAATCTGTTTACAATGATCTGGACCTAGAATCTAAATTTTTGTGTATTGGGGGGGAGGTAAAAACTGGAAAACCTTCCAGATAAATTCTAAAAGAGCTGTAATTTCCTTTTACATATAAATACAAAATTTTTTTGCATAGTTTTAAAATTCATTGACATTTCCAATCATGCAATTAACATGTATATCAAAATACTGTACATTGTTTTGTTCAGAACTTTACCAAGCACAATCCACCGTTTTGGAGGAAAAAGATCCTATCATCAATGGAAATGACTCTCATTTGTGAGTCACTATTATCAGTGTACACGGTGGCATCCATACGCAGGGACTGCACACACACACACACACACACACACACACACACACACACACATGGCATCAGCCTACTTCATTATGTCTTTTGGTGTAACTATGCAGAAGTATTTCATACTGAAATATAACTGAATTATATATTACTTTCCTTTTATTTCTGTTTAACATAACATTATATACATTTTAATTATGTACGTAGGAAACCTTGTTATCTATGAAATTTTACTTCAGGATGGTAAAGGGGATGTAACATTTTCCATAAAAAGGAAGCAATGGGACTGACAGGGTAAGATTTACTGACTTAGATGTCAGTTGTAATACAAAAATGCAACTTGCATAGATGAAAAATAACTAAAGATGACTAACATTTGTTTCTAACACACTAGGTAAAATAAAATTCAACATCATTTAATCAAATGGAAAGAAAAACCTTGTTCAATGCTTAACTTCCGTGTTGGAACTCATAATTCAATGTCACAGCATGCTCTTTCTGATGAAACAATATGCACTAAACTTATGGCTTATGCAGATGAGCTGATCACATCCCAGGACGGGTAGGATCAGTACTGCTTTGTCCCAGTCCCTCCTCCTCTTCTACCCTCAGATGCTGATGTATAATATAAATACAGCTTTGTTAGCTGGTGGGACTGTGGTTTTGCTGTGTGGAAAATAAACATTACCACCATCCTCCAGATTCATTTACATGCTGTCACACTGACTAAAGTAACCTGACACTCTTACTATTTCCTCTCCACTGCAAAGCCACATATTTGGTTCACATTTTGTGGGCACAACCTTTTGAAAAGGTCAAACAAAAAGCTACTAAAAAGTTCACTTCACAGTGATAAACACATTCACATGGCCAAAACATATTTGTATAATTATTTTCAGTAGCCAGAAAGAGAACTGTGGAAAAAATATATAATAAAGCAAAAATTTCCAGAGAAATCTGATTAATAAAAAGTAGCCAATATGAAAGCATATAAAATTCTAATTTTTAATTATTATTTTTTAATATTGTTTTATGTATCTGCATCCCTTTCCTTAGATTTAAAAAGATTCAGAGTAGCTTCCAAAAGAAAAAAATCCCTAAAAACCCCAAAGGTTCCGAATGGTAAACTCTGAATCTGCAGACATGAATAGTTAAGATTTTAAGGTTTTTGCCTCTTAAATTAATAGCAGTAGCCTCTATTACAGAAGACTTCAAAATGAACTTGTGGCCCATAATTTGTTACAAAATCTGCCCTGCATGTGAATGAGTTTGATAAAATTTAAGTATTTTCTAAGGGGCTGGCCAATTAGTTCAGTTGGTTACAGCACAGCCTTATAACCCCAAGGTCATGGGTTCAGATCCCCATACCTGCCAGCTGCCAAAAAAAAAAAAAAGAAGAAAAATTAAAAAAAAATTTCTTACACGTATATGTTTCCAGATAATAAACCTTAAACTTTATTACTGCCAAGTGAAAGAGTACATAATTTTTTTCAAATTAAATGAAAGCATTTACCTGCCAAATTGATTTATTAACATTAAGTTTAAGGTTGTACATAAAATTGTAACCATGATAATTCGAATAATGTAAACAGAATAAACCATTTATTAAAACATTATGTGATAAACTTTTTGATCCAAAGCTACACTGGTAAACATTTCCCCCTCACTAACATTTTACCTAAAACACAGTTAAATTACAACATAATCCAACCAAAACTAGAAAATACTTCTGTCCTTTACCACTCAATGACTGAATGGTAAGGTGAGTACAGATCTAGGTTTTCTTGATGAGAGTCAAAGATAGAAAATGGTAACTTAAAAGACAATCAAAATTCCACACACCCAAAATTTAAATTTTATTACCCTGTTCAGTAAAATTTCATTATATCAAATAAAATTTCATTAAAAATTTCATTATATCAAACAAAGATTTTATGGATTGCCCTCTCCTCCCCACCAAAAATAAATATTAGGAACAAATTAAGGATAAGGGTTGGATTTTAAACTGTACTTTATTTGTTACTATAACATTCTCTTTTTTAAAAACTGATCAATCATAAGCATGCAAAATCTTCTCTGAATGGAACTGCTTCCACAGCCCCTTTATGTCAATGGTAAATTATAAAGGTCATTCAATTTGGAGTTCTCTCCTTTTTTTTACAGCACTTCTAAGCAGTGTGTATGACACACACTACAGAGGTAGGAAAGACAATCTTTAATAAATTACCTTCTTGATTATACAGAATTTCTGAAAAGAAAACTGACAAAATGCTAAACTGTGCCTTTGATAAGTCCCAAAGGGCCACAGATCCATCGCCTCCTATTTGAAGAATTAATCCCCTGGGAGTGTTCTAACCTTTATAGAGCACTTGATAACAAGATTCACCAGGGCTCGGAACAACTGCACTAAGAAAGCCTTCTACCACTTTCATTTGCCGATTCTTTGGACCACCCAGTCCTGCTGGCAGAGAGGGCAGCGATTGTTCTGTTTCACCCACAGGGACATGCAGCAGTTGTGGAAGGAATGATTACATTCTCCCCAGACCACTGCAAAAGAGAAAAAGAATAGTTGACATTACATATTCCAAAATTATCGCTTATTTTACATTATGAATAACAATCATGGTTCATAATCTTGAAAAAGATGGTTAATTGGCCAAAACAATTTTTTTCTATCTACAAAGAAATAGAAACTTATAGATTAAGTTCCACTTAAGAAATGAGATAAGTCACTGTGGTGGGGGGACTTTCCATCCCTGTTCTAGAATGTGTGGGTGATGTGATGATCCCCAGTTCCTACACAGCTCCACATGCTGTCTTCTTTAAGTCAGGAGATTAAAGGACTTGAACCTTCTCAGTCACGCACTGACTTCAAAGATCTTTTCGGCTTTATTTTATTGAAAAACGTCCTTCTGATTTTTACTTATCAAGATATAATAAGTTATGGTTTTGATGTTTTGGGCGGCTGGCCAGTATGGGGATCTAAACCCATGACCTTGCTGTCATAAGGCTGTGTTCTAACCAACAGAGCTAACTGGCCAGCCCAAGATATAATAAGTTTTAAATGTTTTCATTTCATAATAGGCTATTATAAACAGATAACATGCTTCTGAACATTATCAGTTGCACATCTACTGAGCTGTTTTCTAGAAGTGATGAATTGTGTTAAGTCATCTATAAGCAGTGCAATTCCTCATGTGACAGAATGAAACTTTTAAAGTGGGAGGCTGGACAGAGAGGTCTCTCTGTGAGCAAGGAAGTCGTCTACCCCTCACACTTCCCAAATTTATATATATATATATATATATTTTTTTTTTGTCTTTTTCGTGATGGGTAAGGGGATCGCAACCCATACTGTGGTGTCGCCCGCACCGCACTCAGCCAGTGAGCTCACCAGCCATTCCTATATAGGATCCGAACCCGCGGCGGGAGCGTTGCTGCGCTTCCAGTGTCTCCCGAGTGCGCCATGGGGTCGGCCCCCAAATTAATATTTTTAAACAAGCAGCATAAAAGAAACATTTTAAACCAAGGGAAATCACCCACAATCTGGAATACAGTCTCAAATTTAGGCTTCATTTGTCCCTTGTTTCGCCAACCTAACTATATGACAACAGAACAAGATTAAATGAAAAAGAAAAAAAAAAAATAGGGGGGCTGGTGAGTTAGCTAAGTTGGTTAGAGCTCAGCCTTATACTACCAAGGTCACGGGTTCAGATACCCATATTACCTGGCTGCCAAAAAAAAAAAAAAGAAAGAAAAGAAATAGGGGGGAACAAAGAGAAAAAATAATACTTATAAAAATTGGCTGTAGAGAGTAGGAAGCAAGGAGAAAACATTCTACATGTTTCAGGAGGAAGAAACAGGATTTGCTCAAAACTGCACAAATCATTATTAAGAAGCTGTATGCAAACCATGCAAACGCAAAGTTAACCTTTTATTCTAGGAAAATCTATAAACACTTTTACATAGCAATCTAGAAGTGATCTCCTCAAGAACTAGGACATAAAATCCTTAAAACTGCTTAGAATATTTAGCCTAAGACAACTTCTGTAGTCTAAGACTACAAAGTAAATTTGATAGATTTCAACACAGAAATCACATTCCATAAAAATACCTGAGACTTTTTCCTACCTTAGTTAAAAAGTTAAATATTGTATGGTAAGAGTAATAAAAACTGAAATGCTTTATTAGAACCAAAACTGACCTATAACATAGCCAAAATTCAAATGATGTTTAGACAAACTCCTCATTTTATAATTTTCTTAACAGAAAATAATTATTTCTTTTTTGATTACCAAAATATTTACTGTGACCATGTCTGGAGTATATAACCAATTCTTCTTAATTGTAGCAATAAAAAGACTTGCAGATTCATTCCATTAAAGTCTTTTGAGAACCAACACATTTAATATTAATAATAGATCACTGCTTTACAGTTTATTTTTGTGTATTGATAAAGTCAATCTTAATTGCAAATTCAAACATCCCCACTGAGAGAAAACCTTCAGTTGAAAAAGCAAGAGAAAGAAATTACAACATACCAACACAATCCTCTTGTTTGTTTTCAGCTTGACATCTAAGACAGGCATCTAAAAGTAAACAAACAGCAATTCTCATTCTGATGCTCAGAATGCAATTTTTAAAACCCAGACACACTTCAAAGTCCAATAAAAACCCTAAAGGTTAGAGATGGAGATAAAAGACTCATGCTATTAATTTCTCATCTGAACATAACTATTTAAGAAGAATAAAGTACAAAGAATTCCACTAATTGACTTATGACCAGGAGCAATTTTAAAAGGGTTAATGACCCTCTATTTTTATAAGCTCTGATGAAAAGATGTCCTGACAGCATCACTAGAGAAAACCACTAGATACAAATAGGCCAGACTCCACTATTTTAGAAGTTACTATAAGCTCACTGGACATGCTCATGTAGATTAACCTTAGTGGTAATTTATTTTCAAGATATCCTTTTAAATAAGCCATCCATATATATTGGTATTTGCTTATTTATACATAAAGAAACTCTAGGATACCCAAGACAAATGATAAAGTTTACTGGGAGGGGATAAAACGGGAAGGAGAGTTTTCACCATATCCCTTCTTAAAATTTTTAAATTATGTGACTGTATAATCTACATAAAAATTAAATTTTTTTTGATTCTTTCATAAACAAATTTTCTTGAGTCATCTATACTTATCAACATGGAAGTTTTCCTTCAGTGACTCATAAAAACTTATTATTTTCTTCCCTAAGACACTTGAGAGTTCCTTTAAAATAAGCTATTTTGTATGCCTCCAATAGGTCATTACTGGTAGTCATCCAAACAAGACATGAAAAGGCAGTAAGGTGCAGAACGGAAAGCAAGGATTTTGGAGACAGGCAGATCTGGAGTCAAATCCCACCTCACTGGCATTTACTACTTTCGTGGCCCTACACCAATTATGAACCTATATGAATCTCAATTCCATCACCTGTAAAAAAGAAATAATACCATGAGGCATTTATATATTAAGTGGGGATGATACATACCTGTAATAATTTTATAGATAAAATAAGTAAATCCTAGGTACTCCTAAATATGAGGGTACTCAAAAAAGTTGGTGGAAAAATAGAATTAAAAGATAATATGAATCTTTCCATCAACTTTTTGAAGTACCCTTGTACTAGGTTCTTTCTTTCTTTTTAAGAAAATGTTCCCTTTACAGATAAGTTGGAACCCAAAGCATCTACCCAACAACAGCAAAGTATTTTAATAAATTACTAGGGAGTAAACACTAGGAATGGGAACCTGAAGGGTGTACCAGAAGTTTTCAAAATTCAGTCTGTAGTACTATTTGCTTGATGATAGAAGTAATAAAGAATATTTTAGGGACCAATGAAATGGTCTCATTCACTTGCTGCAGGAGGAGTCAAAATTGGGTAAAAGAAAGTTCAACAAAAGAAAAATAGTTTTTAACATAAATAGGAGAAAAATAATTCTGTAAAAATAGAAACACAGTGGAGTTGAAGCCTGTTTCTCCTCTTACACTGGATTATGCTCAGGCATTTGTTTGCTCCTCTCCGCATGCTCTTAACCTTAAAAAAACCACCACCACCCGGGCCTCTTGGGCGTAGATTAAAAACAACCACTGCCTTCTGAGGCTTTCTTCAATTCCACATTACCAAGCATGTATTCTGCAAGGAATTATGCACTGGTGATATCAAAACGACCAAAGCTGGGTCCACGGAGCTTACCACCAAATGGGGAGGTAGATAAGCAAACAACTAAATTATAAGGATGATGATATAACAGTAAAGACATGTTACCTGTACCTGACTCTAATTCTGTGCAACCACTGAATTTTAAGAAGGCCCAGAAAGGTTATGTGAAGTGTCTAAATTAACATAGTCATGAAGAGTTAACTCTGGGTTTTACAGCAAATCTATTCCCCTCCTATGAGCACTTGCTCAGTGCGACATCTGCTCCTTTCAGAATGAAGGAGAGTGGAAACTGAGGAGAGAGTCACCCATATCAGAATGAGCTGACAGGAAAACCTTGGAGCAAGAAGTAATAAATCATTCAGGTGTGTGAGATAAATTCCAAGTATTAAGGAAATAGGATTTTGTGGGTTCTTGTAGCAGAATTCTCTGAATTATGCTTATTCCTTGGATTTAGATTCATTATAAAAATTGACCCAAATCTACATAAATTCCTTAAGTTTAAGATTTAAAAAATTCTTTTAATGATGTTCCTAATATCAGCACATTTCTAAAGAGTACAATAGCAGTAATATCTTTTAGAATGATGCTAGGGTAAGGACAGGGAAGTCTGAAAAGCAAATTTCCTTCAGCTGTCACCTGACCACTAAGCAGATTTTAACACCTCATAAACAATATTCAAAGGTGTAGTCCAGAATACTTTCCTGAACCCAAAGTACAACTGTTGTAAACATGCAACATTACTCCTGCAGTAGCAGAATACCTGCTATAATTAGAAAGTTAATGATAAATGTGAGTCATTTATAACCCACACTTTGACCTACTCTAAATATCTCCATAAAGTTTGTTGCAAAATTTCAATCATTATTTTAGGTCCTACATTTCCACTTACTATTTAAATTTTTTTCCTTTGGGGAGAAAATAGCTTCATAGGAGAGAAATACTTTTAAAACGACTTTTTGGGAACATTATTTTTAAACTAAGAAGGAACTAAAAGGAAATTTATTTTCCTTTAAGCTAAAAGAAATTTAGGAGATAAAATGCGTAGCAAAGATCGTCCTGCAAAAGAACAAAAGATTATGTCTCCTGAATCAGTTAAAAATGCCTCCCAAGCTGGAAATGATGAATCTAGTTCTTAAGTAAGGGGTGGGGCTGGGAGGTTTTATTGCAGGCAAATAAACTAAATACTGTTAAAACCTAATATGCAAAATAAGTGGGTCGTGTTTAAAATCAAAGTCTTTTAAAAGTAAAAAGAAAAAAACAAAACCAAAAATTGAGTCCAACTGTTGTAAATTCTCTTTGAAATAAGCCGTTATGAATGAAAGACCAAAGAGCATAAATTGAGAAATCTCTTTATTCTGTTAGGTTTAAAGTCTCATCCCTCAAAGAAGGGAGTTTCCAGTTCTCTCATTTTTCAGGGTAAGCCACAAAGTTTTCAAAGTACAGAAATCTCAGTTTTCTTCATCTACTCTCAAGAAACACCACCATTTAAGATGCTCTTCCAGTAATTTTAAATTCCCTATTTAAAAAAGTCTCATCCCTCAAAGAAGGGAGTTTCCAGTTCTCTCATTTTTCAGGGTAAGCCACAAAGCTTTCAAAGTACAGAAATCTCAGTTTTCTTCATCTACTCTCAAGAAACACCACCATTTAAGATGCTCTTCCAGTAATTTTAAATTCCCTATTTAAACACATATTTTGCATTCAAATAGCACCTGTCTTTCAAGGTGGTCTGAGATCTTAAAACAGGAACCACACAAAACATAACGAGATTAAGCAGTTCTGAAATGTTTCACTTTGTCCGATATTTTTATTCAAAATATTATAGAAAAAAGACATTTATCAAAGAGGGTTCCGCATGACTCAGAGCAGGGCAGTATCTTCTCCAGAAAATGGCATCCTATGATGAGGGGGACAAGATGGAGATAAAGTTTTATGTTTCTGAATAAAGGGCGTACATTCTTCCATAAATTAAATACTCCTGAACCCCAGTGTATTCCCTTCAGCTCAAGCTAGCTCTATGTGACTCGTCCTAAATCAATCCAGATTTTAAATACAGCCGAACGGCAGCGGTAGCTAATCGGAAACGCACTGGCTGTGAACACTCTTCTTCCCTGCGCCCGTCGAGCAGGACTGAGGGTGTCGTTTCTGTGGAAGGTGACTGCCGAGCCTCACTTTGGCGTGTGACCAGAGACACGGAGGTGCACCGCTGCGTGGTGGCCTGTACCCCGACCCCTCCGCCGTGTGCTTTTAGAGCGGGGCTGGCCGCACAAGCCGAAGCGGTTCCTGCCAGCCCCCATCAAGTCACCCCGTCTTATTCTCTTGGTCACACCCGCACTACCTGAAATTACCTTGTCTGGTCCTCCGTTTACTGCTCGTCCTGCTGGACGGCCCCCGGCGGCGGCCCAGCCCTCGGCCCCGCGTCCTCCGGCCATCCCCAGGGCGGAGGGCTTTCCGCGACTTCGGGCGCGCCCATCTCCCCGCCTCCGGCCCTCCCGGAGG